TGTGCAAAGAAAAGATAATTTGTGTCTCTGGCAAAACGATCATCAACATTAAAAAGTCTGGACTTGAAATAAGTGCTCGGTGTGACTTTAATACGTCTCTGTTCATCCAGAGTGTTCTGACCTGTAGGGAACTGAACAGGAAAAGCCATCGCTTCCAGTTTAGGTGTTCTGAAAAAACTGACTGGATTATTTCCCTCTGCAGGAGCCACACAGTAAACATTATCATTGAAGGCTAACATTTCTTCACCAATATCTAGAGGTTGTAAACAGGATTCGAGAGCATAACCACCATTTGGCAAAGAGCTTTCCTGTCCTTCATCATTCTCCTCATCATTTTGTTCTGGGTGTTCATTTTGTAAACGTTCTGCCTCTTCTCCATCACAAGACACCATGTCAACATCCTGTTCACGTCCAGATTCACACAATGCTTCTCTTTCACAGCTGTCCACCTGCATTAAATCTGCTTCATCATAATCGTCATCGTCCATGCTTATGTTGTCGTTCTCATCATCATCATCATCATCATTTAAAGTGGGATCACAGAGCAAAGGTTCATCTCTGATTGTTACGTTCTGGTACTGTGGATGGATCTGTTTTAACTTGTGCAGTGCATGAATGAGTTTAGACCAGGTTACAGTCTGGAACAGCTGATGGCCTTTGTAACACAGTTTTCTTTTTAGTTTAATTCTCATTACCTGTGATTCACTTCTGAGTCTGGGTAAGGCGTCAACAGTTTGTTCTATTTCTGATGGAACACACACTACATTTCCTCTGATCAGATTCTGTCTGCCCTTAGGAAGAGGAATAATTTTAGCAAAAGGAATGCATTTAGAAATCAGATGTCTCTCCATGATGTTCAGGTCTTTTAGTTCAGGAGGTATTTCTGAAAGGCCCATTTGATTTGCAACAGCTAGAGCTGGCATTAAACCTTTTTTGACATAATTAGAACAGGTGTAACAAATCCACTCCTTCTTTCTCTCTTTGGGAGCTGAACAGTTTTCTTCACAGGCTTGATTGCAAACATGAACATAAGCTCCTTTCAGACATTCAGCAACC